TGCCTAAAGTTACATAAGTTTTCAAAGGCCAGATGTAAAGATTTAAAAGCCAGGTGCTATGAACAGTCTTTCATGGTCTTCGCATTTTTCTGGCAGTGAGCCTTTCCCATGGTTCCCACTGTTCTTCAACGGCAACATCTTCGAATCGGCGTCGAATGCACACATATCGACGGAGCGGTGCATCTCCTGGGGAAAGTTTGAGATTGGGACCTACCATTCGATCCATGCCTCTACACAAGACTAGATGGTGAATTTTCTGTTGTGGACACTTGCGTTGGACGGCTTGCAAAAGGAAACCTTCGGTGATTACTCGAATGCCAACCCGTGGAGTTTCCTGATCTACAACTTTCATGATATCCTCCCAAGGGGGATTCTCCGTGAGCAGTTGAATCTGATTGGTATTTACTTTCTGACTCAATCGTCTTCGTTTGGTGGGATGGTCTTCATCGGCAGCAAAGAGATGTCCCGCACCTATTGGCGCCCTACGAAGACATTCGATTATCTGTCTGGCAAACTTCCTAGGATACAGTTCAGTGAATTGTGACAGCGAGGTCGGTTTTCCATCCCGGCAATCTGGTGATGTCGGTGGGACTCTTGACATGTCCTCTGATGGAGGTTTGCATGGAGTTCTTTCGACGTGGTGCAAACAGTGAGTCGCTTGCGGATGAAATCCTGGGACATGGGCTCACGCAGGTCGCCTACTCTGCAAAGGTCAAAAGTGCTTGGCTTCGTGACTTGCATAATCTTTTGCGTGCATGGTAGCTTTAACATCTGTGATCCTTGTGGTTGTTCGAGATGGAACTGTCTGGAGTGAGTGACTTGATGATCACAAAGCATTCTGCTCAGCCCTAATTGCCATATGCTATCTCTACGATTAGCCAGGATCTTGTTCCGAAGCTCAGCGCCTTTGCTCTTATTGAGATTGGACCATTGGCACCAAGGTCCACAGGTGGGACTGATCCAGACATGTTCAGGTCTATCTCTTGCGAGGTGGCAGAACAGATTGCGGCGTCCTACCTTGGTGCGAAGGTCTCCTTCTTCCAAGCCAAATCGTTTGACCCGGAGGCCTTGCTTTGCCCCTTGGCGGGTCAGCTCGCTGTTCTTGGAACACATGATTTCGAACAAAAATGCTCTTTGGGGGCGAGGCTGGAACTCTTCTCGGAACTTGGTGAGGTATTGAGAGCACATGCGATTATATTCTTGAGGTTGATGATCATCAAAATCAAAGTCAAATTCGGCTCGTTCCAAATTGCAAGCGACCTCACTCATGAAGTGGCAAATTTGCTCAATCACGGCCCGATTCATTTCGGCTCCTCCTTGACCATCATCCATGGATTCGAGGGTTCCGAGGTCGGTTCGGCCTTGCTTTCGATGTGGTGCATGATGGCCATCAATGCATTCTCGATGCGACTCATCCGCAGATCCTGTTGTTCTTGGTGACCCAGGATCTCCTCGAGCTGATGTTCTTCGGGATCCCACATTGGCGTCTCGACCGGTGCAGCCTGGGATGACTTCCCAGGTTCCTGAGCAGAAAGGCGCAGGTACTGATCGGACTTTTTCTTGGTGTTCATTGGGAGCGTCGGGCTTTCCTCCACGCGAAGGGCCACGTACCGCAGGAAAGTGCGATGATCGATCTTCTTGTTGCTGTTCTCGTAAGTGGCAACAAACCACTTTGTCCAGCTCTGGTCTTGGAAAGCTTCCTCGAAGGATTGGCCGAGCTTGGCTTTTCCGAACTTGATGGTCATGGTCCTGAGCGTGCTCAACGGAAGCTGGTCGATGTCCTTCAGGTCTTCCTGATTCTGTTCCTTTTTGATTTCCTCCTGAAAGATGGCTAGCTTCTGGCTCAGAGTCATGATGTGTCTCAGCGAGAGGCGGCGGAATCGAATCGGCTTGAGAGAGCTAGCAGGCTTTTCTGGCACTGACACATTGTTCGACTGGTTGATACACTGTCTCACTTCGGAGAAAGTTGCTTCAGTCGTCTCGAGTACTCTTTCTGTTTCGGAGGCATTGGGCTTAATTCAGTTGGACAATGCTCTTGCACGGCCGATGACACACTGTTCTGCGTCAGCTGGAGATGCGGTTGCGGCAGGCTGATCTTTTGAAACTGGTTCAGCTGTCTGAATCGAATGGATCGGTTTTGATCCCTGTACCTGCACAGTGTCTTGGACAGCAAATGCATCCTGCGGCCAAAGTTGATTAATGTCCAATAACATCAAACTACTAGATGATTTCGTGGTTTCAAGGACTTACCTGGCCAAATTGGCCTCCAACAATTTCCACAATCTTGGCGATGCTTTCGACGGTGCCTGAAAGAAGTTCTTTCTGTTGCAGCTGTAACTTAGCAAATGCCGATCCACGGCAGTTGAGGATGATGCGAGTTGCTAACTCGTTCAAACGGCCTTCAGGCCACACCTTGGTGAGCAGCTCAATCTTTTGGGTCCACTGCTCCACACTATCTGTCGAGGGATCGAAAGTCGGAATCAGTGAAGCCAGCTGATTGCTAGATCCTGCGGCACCTGCGTCCAAGGTCGTTGAACCTGCGGAGTCCGGCATGATCTCAAGCTCAACTTGTACAACAATGCAATGTCAACAGCTCCAGCAAGGTCTGTTCAAGAACTCCCTGTGCCATCGTCCAGGTAGCTCCGCTACCAATATCGAAACCACACCGGCTTCGACTTGGTAGGGGGGCAGCCGGTGATTGGACTCTCGCGGGCAAGCAAAAAGGTGTATGGTTTCTCCTGGTTGTATTCCCTGTTCAACAAAGGTGCCCTGCACAAAATGGTCGAAGCTCCTGCTTCCCTTCCACCGTAGCCTAAGCGACCGCTCCCTTTTCCAACACCAGCCCTGTGATGCTCCGACGGTCGTTTCCTATGGCTCGCACGAACGGACAGCCACCCACCCACCCTTGAGTCTGCGGCGGTGGCGAACGATGCATCTTGGTCAACATGTGACATACAGCAAGGCCAAAATTGACAATTTATAATATACATATTCCATATATATATATATATTTTATATAGCGCGCGTTTATTCATTTGAGCCTATTGTTTGGGGGGAGCGCCATTCCCAACCCTGCGAAGCTGCAGATGTTGATTCAAAAGCTCTTAGCTGTTGATAGTGACAGCATAATGCCAAGAGAATTGAGCATAGTTTCGCTTCCAAGCTGTTTTCGAGATGCTTCAGGTCCTCGGCCTCTTTGCGCTGTTGGGTGCACCATCCTTCA